TGCGTCGTGGCCTCTGCTTTACTGGCTTGTGCGACGGGTCAACATGCAGCCTGTGAGTGATTATCTCGGGGTCTACCCCCGTCATTTCCATCTCGTTCCAGGCAAACACGTCTGTATTTCCCCTTAGGAACTCGATCATCTCCTCCTGTTCGGCTGTCGGCATCGAAGTCCCCACTAAGAAATACCTTTCTTCTTCTCCCTCTACCAAGGGCACCTTCCGGAGGTCTTCAACCGACCGTTCAGTTGGGTCTATCCGGGGGTCATCCATTCCTGGACGCCCGGACTGTAATTGCTATTTTTCCATAATCTCTTCTGGTGCTCGCCCCTTCTCCTGGCTGGACGCCCCGGCTCCGACGGCTGAATAAAAACAGTTCTTTGCGGACGCTTGGTCCCCCCGGATCTCCACGTTACCCTCCGGCGTGGCGAATTTCAACTTCTGATGGAAAGTGGAGTGCACCGCTCCCAACGCATGCAGCCATGTTCGCCCCATAATCACATTGTAGGGAGAGTCCGTATCGATCACAACAAACTCTGTGTCGATGATAAAGGGACCAGTGGCAACCGGCAATGTGATTTTCCCCACGGGCAAGGCGAATGAGCCGTTGAACCCGATGAGGGGTGTCTTGACTTTGTTGAGGTCTTTGGGGCCAAAGCCCATCCGTTTCAGAGTCTCGAAGTACATCACCTCCGAGGAGCTTCCAGAGTCTATCAAAATCCTCTTGACATCGAATTTCCCTATTCTTAGGGTCAAGACAAGGGCGTCGTTATGGGGAATCACCACGCCTGTCAAATCTGCGTCGGAGAACGTAATGCCAAGCTCACCCATCCTGACCCTTTTACTCGATGGCCCTATATCACCCTCGGCTGTCTTTCTTGTAAAAGCTACCTTCTTGAGGTCGGACTCGAGCTCCTTGGACGTGGGGCGCTCCAGGGGACATATATGAATGACGTCTATGACGTTTCCGGTTCCTCGGTCGGGGCAAGGGCTCGTCTCTCTTCTGGCCTGGGCTCTATGTATTCTTTCAAATGTCCGTCTCGGACCAAGCTTTCCAAGAACGACTTGAACACCCTGCAGCTTTCGGTGCGATGCCCGACATCCTGGTGATATGAACACCTAACTTTTTGATCACGGGTGGAGGGGTCGCTCTGCATCCTGGGCGGCCATTTGAAGAACGGCTCGTGCTTGATTTTATGGAGCAACCTGAAGATGGGTTCCTTGAAGACAGTGTGAACTCCTCTGGACGAACCCTCTGGACGGGGTAGCAATCCCTTTCGGGGAATATCTTCGCGCTCCTTCTCTTTTCTCTTAGATTGGAGGGCTCAGCTTTTGTTGCTTCTCATCTCGTCCTCAATCCTCGAGTACTTGTTGATCCGGGCCATCAGTTCCCCCATATCCGAGGGAGTCTTCTTGGTCAGGGATCGGTACAGGTCCGTGTCCCTCGCCAAGCCGAGCCGGAAAGATGCCGCTGCCACGACCTCCGAGCAGCCTTCTACTTCATTGACCTCCTCCCAGTATCGGATGGCGTACTGGCGAAGAGTCTTTGATTCCCTCCGTCTGAGGGTCAACAATGATCCGATGTCTTTGGGGCGCTTATTCCCCGTAATGAATCGAGCCAGGAACTGCCTAGTCAATTCCTTCCAGGACCCAATACTGTTTGGGGGAAGCGTCTCGAACCATTTCATCGCAGAGTCCCCCAAGCTCATTGGGAACACTCGGCAGAGAAACCGTTGGTCCGAATGATAGAGGGACATCATCTACTTGTACTGTCTGATATGGGCTTCGGGGTCGGACCGCCCGTCATAGGTTTTAAACCGCGGTACGACGAACTTCCTTGAGACCTCCATCTCACCGATTTCCCTTGTAAAGGGTGTTTGTATGACTTCGTCCTCTGCCTCATCTTGGACAGTCTTACCCTTTCTCCTGGAGTCTAATCGGGTTCTGAGATCAACTTCTTCCCTGACGGCCTGCCTTCTGAAGTCCCTGAGTTCATTGGTAAGCCCCTCATTTCCCGGGCGTCGTGTTGATTGGATTGAGTCCTCCTCGGATTCATCTCCCTTCCTCCGTCTAGACAAACCTCGTCGGAGGTCGTCTAGGGCCAATGGCCTTGCTTTCCTGGACTGGTTGTCATGATGATGTTCGCCGGCTCTGGGTCGCTTTGGGGCCCTAGAGCTTTCTGCTTTGTGGTCTAGGTGGTTTCTTAGATCCCTCGTTTCCGCCTCTTGGGCGGGAAGTCCCCAGGAAAGGAATGAATCCCTCGACCCTCCGCCTGAGGCGGCAAACTCGTCGAGCCGGCTAAGGACGTTTACATTGTCCTTCTCCAGCTGACGTAATCTATCGCCAAATTTTTCTTCAATCACCTCCGCCAGCTGACGAGCCAAGGGGGCTGATCCCCCTGACCTGATCCCCATACTGGTTTGAGGGGTAACCCCTCTTGACCGAGTAGAGACACTTTTATTTGTATTGGTGTGATCCCTCCCTCCGTGATGACAGGGAGCTTGTAACTCGAGACTCCTTTGGTGGGGTCCTTTCTCTTTTTGTCGAGTGTTCACCATGGTCACTGTTCTTTATAGAGAAAAAACTAGGAAAACTAGTCGTTTTTCACAGACGGCGCCAGATTGTGCGTGCAAGATCCTGCACAATATAAAAAATGAGAACAGATCTCTCCCTTGGCGAACTCGAGTGAGCCGGATGAGTGACCAAACACGCTGCTTGGGATAGCCTGTAAGGTGCGGTGGTAACCTGGAACGGCAACGGGAGACCTTGGAAAAGGAAGAACGGTCCTGTAAGGCTGAAAGAGGTCCCTCGATCAAAGAAGAACAAGTTAGAAGGGCGCCAGAGTGTTTTCCGGCGTATCCCCTCCGACGATCTAGTCAGTCTTTGAGAGAGAGAGAGAGAAAGGAGAAAACACTGAGAATATATCGTAGTAGAGAGTTTGTTGTTGCATACCCGCTATGCCTTTTGCAAGGAGTATTTATACTTCAAAAGCTCATGATTGCTGTCAGTGTGGTCAGTAGATGATCATTAGGCACAGGTAGCGTGTACATTTGATTCTGATGAGGAATGTCTTCTCTAATTAACTGCTCGGGGTCCCGAGCAATCAATGCTGGGTCGTCGGGATGCCGACGGTACAATGTGCTCCTCTCGGGGAGGATGCAATAAATGCTCTGTAATAGGAGCATTTATTGCCTTTTATTTCCGAGCCTTACCGCATTGAATGCGGTCTCATCAAGGGAATGGTGCAATTAATTGTTTGCTTTCCCAAGTCGCGTGTCAGCAACGACATGCGGTTTGTCTGTCTCTGATATGATATCATATGCCACGCGTCCATCCCCTATTGGCTGTGACCTCTGTATTCCAGTACGTTCTGACATTACTTGTGTAAGACGAGGTCATGATGAATATCCTAGGTTAGCCTAGGCTAATGACCCGCACGTCAATAGCTTATCCTGGAGTAGAGAGGGAATGTCCAGGAGGATATCTCTCGGCACCGAGGAAAGGTTTATCTCGAGGACCGAGGGAGGTTGCCGACCGAGGTACATATATGACCGAGAACACGTGTTGGTTGTAAAACATACTGAATGTATGATCCTATACGACGGTACCTCGGGGGCGAGGACATTCATGCGCCGAGGTGCTTGATCCTAGCAACAGTGTTTTAGTAAACCGAGGACACGTGTCTTCATCATAGGATTTTTCAGAAAAATCCCATCAACTAGTATAACGGTCAACCACTAAATCTCAATATGAATTTCAAGATTCAAACTTCTAACTCGGTACTCCACTCAAGAATCGCACTTGGTGGTCTGAACAATTCTCTTTTGCTTGCCTCGAGAAGTAGATTAGATTCCTCGTTGAATAGCAAAAAGAGATATTCATCTAAATATAACGGAGAAGATATTCATTTTTTTTTATTTACAATTATTTATGAACCACATCACATTTGAAATAGTTCTTGAAATGTTATGATAGATACTGATCTCAATTAGTTGTAAATTCATATTTTAAAAAGTGTATCCAAAATTTTCAAATTTATTCATTTCCTCCTTTATCAATTTTTAATTTTCTATGACGTCCATTTTTACATTGCATAAGCCATGATTAGTAAGATAAAAAGCTTTTTGATCTAGATTTTTTTTTTAAAAAAAAATTAATCCTAACAAAAAAATAAAAAAAACAAAAACAAATTTAAAAAATATAAAAATGAAAGCACTAAATATATCCTATTCAAAATCTTTCTTCCTGACAGGAAAAAATCTTTTTCTCATTTTTCCAAGATCCCTTCTTATTGGTCCAAGTCAAAAGTCATATGATTTAAAATAGTTTTAATCTTCTTGTCCGTCGATACTACTCATAGTATTATTCTCATCTCACGGATCACATAAAGAGTCAAAAATTCAACTTACTCGGGCGGAAAGGAAGAGCCAAGGGGGGGGGGGGGGGGAGCCG